AAGGGCAAAATTATGTATCTTAGCGCTTGGGGCAATGACGCTTTTAATGAGGTTCCAAACGAGGCGCGTGTATTGCTGGTTGACGACTATTTCAAACCCCCTCTAAAAGAAAAGGGAAAAATAAAATAAAGCTAAACGTTGGCATCAGAGGAGAGGGATATTGAAATACCGGAGTGACCTTTTACTGGATCCTTAGAGGTCTGCCTGTCGGTACCTCGTTTAATTAAGGCTGCTCCTCTTTTGGGGTCTTTTTGACTTGTAATTATTGAAAAGCTCGTTGGAATTATATACCCTATAAAACATGTGCACAAAAAAGGAAACAGGGAGTGTTGCATGTCTTTTTTCCTCCTTAAGGATGGAGAGTGTTACTAAAAAACAAATTTTAGCTGTAGCTTAGGTATCCTTTTCTTCTTCATGCACTATATACAGATTTTCCTTTTTCCATTGAATTATACCAATCAGTATTCAACATTTATTGTACCTCCTACTTTACTATACACTTTATTCTGTAGGAGCTGACATTTTCTTTTGATGTTCACTCAAGCTCATCAAATAATCAGGAAGCTTGTTGATCTCCTCAATTGGGTCATATCAACTTAGAAGACGCAAAAAAATGGTTTAACGATGTGTTGGCACCAGGGGATGGTTTCTGGATGATGTAAGTACGTGAACTCATTACTTGTATTGTTTAATTGATTTGTATATAACTATGTATGCAACTTTCAGCATGTTGACATGGCATTGCATTTGTTGTGAGCTTGGGCAAAAAAATATCCCAAGTCATTTGGTGGTTCGCGAGCTATTCTAAACGTGCAATTTAATAATGAATTGAACTTTGCTTTGTTTGATTTACACGAGAGAGGAGATCGTTTTAGAATGCCAGTAGAGATAATGGAATATATCACCTGGGTAAAGCCATCATTTGGAAGGAAATGGCAGGAATGTACACATGTATACTTTCAATTATGTACTTGCGGACATTGGCTCGCAGTTGAGATTGACTTTTGCAAAGCAACAATGTTTGTGTATGATCTAGATAAGGGTTGCATTACGAGCGATCAACTCAAGGATGACTTGAAGGCTGCTAGTATAATTGTCCTGCTACTTCTGAAGGAAATCAACATCGATTTGGACACAGATAATCTTGCTATAGAAAGGAATACCAAAACCACTAAACAAGCCATTTCGTAAGTTTTTTTAATTACAATTAAATATTTTGTTCTTATTAATTTAATCATTTTACTTCATTTACCATTACTTGTTATCTTTTAAGGGCGATTGTGGTATCTACGTAGTAAAATATATAGAATTCTTGAGCATCAACGGTCCGGTAGAACAAGTTAATGGCTTCTATATGAATAGATGGAGAGAAAAGATGGCT